GTAAGCCCTGTCCTTTTCTCAGGATTTGACGTGGAATCATGGATGGACTTTTGTTATTACATCCGTCATAATGAGAGATTTAAATTAAAAACTTAGTGAAACATGTTCAGAGTCAATACGCTTTTATGTGTTTTGCAAAAGTTCTCTCCTTTTTTCATATTCTCGTTCCAACTGCGATGTGTTTAGGATTTAGTTTGTCATAAACTAGTTACATCTAAACCTTTTGCAATAGGGCAACAAAACGTTGACTTTTTAAAATGATTTATTTTTATTTCATTTTTCTTACCTGCTTAACAAAAATAAAACACAAAATTTGATTAAGAAAGCAGTCTGTTTTTAACATATGTAAAATATGATTTCAATCTGAAAAAGTCACACAGAAAGAAAAGATAATTAGAAGAATTTTATTGATATGATAGTATAGTCTTTGGCGCTCAGACCTCGGCAGGAACATTAATGCTGAATTATGCTTTAACATGCATAAGTAGATGAAGGAGAATAGGGATGTTCCCCCCCAAAAAAGCCGAGGTCGAGGCCGGAGAGTTCGTATGCTCATAAGGCAGATACTAGGGACAGATTAAAAGAATGCGTAATGAAATGCTGAGAAGGTTTGCAAACAGCTTACCGAGCCGGGTTGTTGTTGAGAATGGCAACCACGGTTGATGCCGCGAAAGTTTACCAGAAGTACAATAATTGATGATGATGATGATGATGATGATGATGATGATGACGATGATGATGATGAATTGGTCGTCTGAATCGAAATCTGACATCATGGGATGCTGATTGCGCTTGCTGGATAGCAGGCTGAGACGAGGATTTGAAGGTGCTTTTAAGGTGGATGCAGGATGCTGATTGGGCTTCGTGGTGGAGCAGTTCGAAGCTAATTGGCTCGCATCAGAGGCTTGAGCTTCATTTGTTGTATGTAATATTAAGATAAAAGACAGGCCTGCAAAATCCTTAATTTTTGGGGTGGGTACTTTTTTTGGTTTAGAAAATAGTTTCAGTTTTCTCAACAACAAGGAGGAGATTCTTTCTTCAAAATGCTAGAGGATTATGGTCCTATTTGCTTTACAAACGATAGAAACACAAAGGTAGAGTTAATAAGACAAGTTCTTTGAGCTGTTTAAATACAAATTTTAATTTCAAACATTTTTTTTCTGCAAAAATCTCACAAAAAAAAGCATGGTTAATTTATGTCTCAGGATATCTTAGTTCTGAATAGAGTCAATCTTGATTTCCTGAATGATAAACTGGGAAAAGTTTAAATGTCCCATATATCTTTAAACTGGTTCAGGTCCTTGGAGTTAATTTTGTTCAATTATTGCTGCAAACAATGTATAATAAATGGAAATATGGAAAAAAAAATGAAACTTTGATAACCTTCTTTATCAATAAAGGTTTTGAGACTAGTTTTGCTATATTATTTATTTAGAAAATACATTTTTTTCATACTTTATATATCTTTTTTCAAATGTAATTTTATATTTTTGTACTGATTTTTGAATGTCTTTTTTTAGTTTAAGACTGCCTTCTTTTCAAAATGCATTTTACAGATCAAATTCTCGTCACTTCTGGGGGGCGGGCTTTCCTCTGGAGTAAGAAGCAAAGATGCATTTCTATTTCTTTTCTTCAAATTTACATTTACTAAGCATATTTTTTTGTTTTGCAACAAGAAACAGAGATGGAATAAAATAATCTAAACACCAAAGCTGGTTTATTGAGCTAAATTCTTACAACCACAAAAAAAAAAAAAAAAAAAAAAAAAGATACAATCAAATCTTAAATTTCAACAATTTAAAAAAAAAAAATTCTGCAATATTTTGGACTGGTGCTCTGTTTATATTTCATTCAAATTCTTGTTAGTTCTCTTCAAGGAACTGAATAATCTTTGTCATAAATACATCTCAAAATCACCTGATAGGTTTAACCCATTTAGGCCATTTTGTTAAACATGTTCCTCTAAAATAAACCACCCAAACACTTATTTTAACTGAACTATTTTTTATAAACAAGGTCTTGTTCCTCTACTCTGTTTTGATGCAAAAGAAATTTGCTTTATTTCTCCTAAATCAGCACAATAAAGAAAAAAGTGACCAATGAGTTGGTTGTTCAGCCTTTCCTTGAATTACTGTTTTTGTTTCAAAATGTTCAGAATGAATATATCTTAATCCTTGTGATTTTTCTCCCATTTTCTTCTATCAAAGCCTCTTAGCCACATGTATCCAAAAGCAGAGAGGCATATTTTTCATGTTTGCCCTCAGATGTGAAGGACTGCCTGCTAAAGGTCCATATGTTTCACAGGCAGAGCTACACCTTTTCAAGTAGACGGGAGAAGAAAAATGTCCTAAAAGCAGGATGTTAATATGCTTCAAACTGTCTGCCCTGGCTTTGGACTGTCAGGGGAACATAATATGAACCAGTAGTCTGCTCGGGTAAAACAGGGACTCTTTAACAACGGGCTCTCTGGCTCTCAGCAGCTCGTTTCTAAATTATGCTGCCGACTCGAGGGTCACAAGGCCGAGACTCGAGTGTAATTCCACCTTGAAAGAAAAGTGGTACTTGAATCCAAAAGGGCTCAGGTACAAATTAAATTATGTGAATTTCCAAGAGGGTCAGTTATTCCTGTGGTCTGAGTGATTATAATCTCACAGGTTAAGGATTTTCCTACCACAACGGGCACCAGTGATCATTTAATGGGACGAGATGTCGAAGGACGAAGCTTTAGATAGATAGATAGATAGATAGATAGATAGATAGATAGATAGATAGATAGATAGATAGATAGATAGATAGATAGATAGATAGATAGTCAGTCTATCTTTGTGGAAAAAAGAAAGAAAATCTAGGCTTACAAAAACAGCAATCATTGACAGTTGGAGTTGATTGAGGTCATTAATCATGTTATATCAATAAACTGCCTTATTTAAAGCTTTTAGCTCCATGGGGATACAGTTGGCCTGGACATTCCCATTCCCATGAGACCTTCACTGACTCAGTGCCTCGGGGTAAAGAGCTGGTCTGCTGTTGCAGACATCTTGTCCTTAATTTAGGAAATTAAAATAAGATCTGGTCATGTTTTCCATCAACCTACAGGGCATTGAGTGGAGTGATAGTCAAACCAAAGCATCTGATTTATCTTAAAATAGGGAAAGCTGGTGGGGTTGTTGATCATAGATCGTCTCCACCACTGGCACTGAAACAGGGAAGCTTTTTTATCAAATGGAAACTTTTTTCTTCTTTTTTTTTTTAACAGTGTCCTGTCTGGCAATGTGGCAATAAGAATAATAGAATAATAATAGAGCCCAATAGATTTTGCTTCCACAAGTGGAGCAGTACAGCTATCGCCATAGTGTTCCCCTTGATTTATGCATATAAATAGCTTTATTATAACTCATGCAGAGCGTTTTACAGATTTTATGGACACTGCAATGTAAGTAGAACAGGAAAGGAAAAACAGGAGAAAAGATTTGCATGTTTTCAAGCAATACAAGGCCTTGTCTACATAAAGCCTCAAACTCAATGCGAATCCAGACATTTTAAATTGAGAAAGCTTCCTGGAGGGGAGGCGAAACGTCTTCAAACCTTGGAAACCAAGTCCAGTGGAATGTTTTATAAACTTTTACAGAAAGAGAAAAGATGAAAGAAAGAGGAGATAAAAGGGATTATTAACGATAAACCATCTTCAGTCCGCTTCATCACCTCTAAAGAGATGTAAGAAGAACAGCACAACCAACGGACATAGTATAAGAAATACAATAAAGTAACACCTAGATACTATCGCTGAAGTATAAGTAGTATCATTTAATCTGACATGTATTCTGTGGTAGCTGAAGATCAGAATATGTTTTTTTTTTTGTATGGAAGTGAATCTCTGAGTACTGGAGCCAAGCACCTGTAGTTGTTTGGGAGAGTGCACTTGTGCATGTAAAGTTTATCCAAAGGAGAAATGCTCAATAGTGGTTGTGAAGAGCCGAAGACGTGCCCCTCCAGAGCACTGAGGCAAGAACCAGGGACCCAAAGCCCCAGACGTCCAAAGGGACCCCAAGAGCAGAGGCGCCCATGAAGGGCCAACCCAGAAAATCTGACCCCCACCAAGGTAGTAGGAGAGACGGCCCTGAGAAAAAAACACTAAAAAACTAAAGCTGGTGGCCAACTGGTACATATTATCTACTTCAAGGGACCTTAGAGACAATCCAGCCCAAAGATCTCCATCCTTTACTCTATGTACCGCTGCTAGTTTCCCCACTAGGTCCTCTAGATGCTGCTGTAACGGGCACAAACAATCCTTCCCTGTGTAAAATAGCCAAATGCTGTCTGCAAAATAGGCTTTGAAGATGGTTTGTAGATTGGAAACAATTTCATTGATATCGAAGTGAGATTATTGGATACCATGGTGGAGCTTGGTCTCTTCCTAAAATTGAAACTTTTGCTCACTATGACATACTACTATCTCTCATTTCTGGTATTTACCATTAGAGTGGTGAGTTATTTGAAATGAGAAAGTTTTGTTGGTCAACTGAACCTTTTCATGCTTTTTTATACCGGTAGTTGTTTTCTCCTAAAGCGTTTATTTTTTCTCGATGATCATCATTAGACCCAATGTTTCCCCTAAAGAAAAACTTTACTTGAACTTTTCCACATTTGGCCGCCTAACAACCACCAGCTTTAAAATGCTTCAAAGAGATTTTTTGTGATGGACCAAAACATAGCTGTAAATAACTGTGAAGTTCTGGCAAATTTCCACCCAGTCTTAGAAAAAAGGATGCTTTCAAAGTGTTGTGGGAATTTATAAACGTCCCTCAAACTCACAATTTTTGTAGAACCACCTCGATTATAGAGGGATGCTTGTTTTGACATTTTCTTTCTTCCTTTCTATCCATTCTACATTGGCTACCTGTGAAAGAATTTTTTTTTTTATTTAGTCTGACTTTTAAAGCTTTTAATGTACAACATCTTGTATCCAATACATCACAGAAACATGGTGCCTTATATTTCAGGCTCTTCACTCTAACCTGAACCTTAATATCAGATATTCTGCTTATTGTTTTATTGCCTGTTTCATTTCTTTCTCAATCACCTTCTATTTATTTATTTTTTTATTTATTTCTTTGCAATATTGAGGATTTCATCTGTGAAAAGTGCTTTATAAAAAAAAAAATCCCGTCTTACTTTTCTTTGCAAAGCAGTTTAGCTGCAGTCAGATTAGATGGACAGGATCTGTGAGCCTCTGATTTCAGTTCAGGTCACAGAGTTTGGACCTGGATTAGACCTGGACTGAGACTAAGACATTTTAACACATTTATACTTTCGAACCAATCCCTTTTAGCTGTAGATGAATGTCTAGAGTCATTGGCCCGCAGTTCCAATCTATTGTAACCTTTTTAGCACCATCCTTCAGCTAAGACCTGGTTTCACAACCCTCTCAAAATTATGTTGCTGCCACAGTTTAAAACAGTGAAATATGGTTGATAAAGCACATAAAACCTTAGGTGTACGTTAACAGGTATACCTAACAAATCTAATCTCAGTCTCATCTGACCAGAGCATCATTCTTCTTATGTTTGGTGTCTGCCCTGCATGGGTTACAAGAAGTGAGTAGAATACCCAAAATGTTACACAAAGCTGCACTAAACAGGAGTGAAAAAAAAATACTTGGTTAATTTTGACTGCAGAATTACTGAGTAAATTTTTTGGCTCATTACATCTGGTTTAATGTTAAAAATGAAGTAATCAGACAAAGGGTTATCAGTTAATAGTAAGGGTATAAAATAAAGTTTAAAAAAGCAAAAAATAAAATAAAATAAAAAATAAATTTCTGCAGATTTTTCCAGATTAATTACTTTAACATAGACATATAAACAAACTTTACAGTAGGTAATGCATATGTGTTATGCAACAATATTATGGATTGAAATTTGTTTAATTATAATTGCAAGCAAAGAACATAATTTGTTTATGGAAATTAGAAAAAAAATACATTTTGCAAATTGAAATTTTAAAAGAATGCAATCCAGAAATTAAACTTTAAAAGACGTTTTAATCAAAACAGTTTTAAGAATAACTTTGCTGTTTCTCACATTCCTTTTTTTCAAATAGTATTTTTTTCAGATTTCTGCAATATTTTACATTTTTTTTCTCTTTTTCTCTTTAGATTTTTGTATGAGTTGCCTATTTTTTTATTACAGATAATGTTCCCTTCACTCAAGCCCAAAAACAAATGCTTGACACACATATACAACAACAACAACAACAAAAAATTAGCACTAACATCTATGCTCACCAATAGAAATGCGTCTTCACTCCTCAGAAGTGAAGAGAATGTGATCTATAAAATGCAATTTTAAAAGAATGCAATTTATTTTACTTACTTTGAAAAACATTTTTTTTTTTACAGTGTCCTGTCTGGCAATGTGGCAATAACAATAATTGTCTTGATGCCAAAAAGAGCCCAACAGATTTTACTTTCACAAGTGTAACAGTATAGCAGTATAACAGTATATGTTTCATGCATATAAATTGCTTTATTATAATTGCGCAGTGA